CTGAAGAACTGGAGGGGCATCACATGACTGTCTATTCCTGGAAAAGTGTTCAATACGATTCTCTTGGAGAGAATAAAGAGAGAAACTGATAGACAGCTCAGGGAAGAACAGGCCGGCTTCTGAAGTGAGCGATCTGGTAGTGATCAAAGAGCAACTCTCAGAGTGATCAAAGGACAGTTCCTTGAGTGGAATTCCCCCATTTGTAGCTTTCACAGACTTCGAAAAAGCCATCGACAGCATTGATAGACACCTTGGCTACATCTAGATTGCATCCCTTTTTCATAAAAGGGATGCAAATTAGACGTATCGCAATTGCTAATGAGGCAGGGATTTAAATCTCCCTCGCTTCATTAGCATAAAAATGGCTGCCACTTTTTTGGATAAGCTTTATTTTCTGAAAGATCCGCATCTAGACTGGTGCTTTTTTCTGGCAAAGCTCCATGCCAAAAAAAAAGTGGCAGCCATTTTTATGCTAATGAAGCGAGGGAGATTTAAATCCCTGCCTCATTAGCAATTGCGATACGTCTAATTTGCATCCCTTTTATGAAAAAGGGATGCAATCTAGATGTAGCCCTTACGGAAACTGCTGCAACATCTTGGCATTCCATCTAAAATTATTAACCTGACCCATTCGATGTACGGACCCTCGACATACCAAGTTGTTCACAATGGTGTCTTGAGAGAATCCTTCAGCATATTCTCAGGAGTGCGACAAGGAAGCCTACTGTCACCTTTCCTGTTCTTGGTCACAATGGACTGGATTAGGAGCAGGACAACAGATGGCCATCAACGGGGCATTCAGTGGACATTTTTCAAACAACCAGAGGACATTGATTTTGCTGACACTGTTGCCCTCCTTTCACACCAATCTGAAAGCATGGAAGAAAAGGTCGCAACAAAACTGCTTCAATGACTGAACTGAGCATCAACAAGAGAAAGGCCAGGACAATGAGGATCGCCAGTTCAACAACAACACAATCATGCTGCGAGGGGATGATCTGGAAAATATGGAGCAGTTCACGTACATGGCCATCTGTGAACTCCAGCATCGCACCACTTGATACTGTGCCCAGGCAGGGGTTGGGTCATTCCCAGCTTGACCCTGTTAAAATTGTCCTTCTGTGACCCCCATGTGATTGACCTGCTGTTCCTCTCTGATATTTCCCCTTCTTTGTTATTCCCTTGCTGTGCAAGCAGCATTCACCTGACCATTCTTCTGTGGCTTGCTTGCTCCTGGTATTCACCAGCCAGACCATTCCCTTGTCCTCTGTTTCCACCCTTTCCAGCACAAAGATCTGCTCTACCAATGGGAAGCACAGAATTTTCCACACCTACACGTCCCACTTGCCGGTCATCACCACATTCTACAGCCCTGTTCTGTGTATCTTGTGTAGTCCAATTCTGAACACACATGAGATCAGGTCTCTGATCCGTATGATGGCGACCCGCTGTGATGTACCCCTCGATCAACAACCTGTGGAACAATTGGAAAAAAGGCATAGAAAAGAGGTTCCCCCCCCCGGGAGCTGCCTCTTTCTGAAGATATTCTCATCACCCGGCAGATTGGTCTCTCAGGTCAGAGCCACATGCCGCCATGGGGTGTGGTGGGCCCTTGTAGCAAAAATGTGTATCTTAGTATTTGTTATAAGACTGTAAGTATGATATATAATTTCATGTAGAATGACTTGCTTATAAGTTCTGTATTTTCTGTTTCTCTCTCTCGTGATTACCTCTTTCTGAAGATATTCTCATCACCCGGCAGATTGGTCTCTCAGGTCAGAGCCACATGCCGCCATGGGGTGTGGTGGGCCCTTGTAGCAAAAATGTGTATCTTAGTATTTGTTATAAGACTGTAAGTATGATATATAATTTCATGTAGAATGACTTGCTTATAAGTTCTGTATTTTCTGTTTCTCTCTCTCGTGATTAGATGTCACTGTGGCTACATCTAGACTGCAAAACTCTTTCGGAAGAGGCTTTTTCGAGAGATTCTTTCAAAAAAGCCTCTTTTGAAAAAGAGCGTCTGGACTATCAGCAGAGTTTTTGAAAAAGCAAGCCACTTTGTTGAAAGACAGTCTAGACGCTCTCTTTCGAAAAAGCACAATTTGCATTCATTAGCGCCTTTTTTGGAAAGAGTACTTTCGAAAAAAGGCATTATTCCTCGCAAAATGAGGTATTCCATGATCGAAAAAACTGTCCCGTTCTTTTGATTTACTTTCGAACATGGCTGCAGTCTAGATGCAGGGGAAGTTTTTTCCGAAAAAAAGGCTACTTAAAAAAAAAAAAACCTGTAGTCTAGACATACCCCGTAAGGCCTTCCTCCCTGCTAAGAACTGCAAATGAAGTTGTACCCCTTGTAACTATTGATCTTGTCTGAAACTCTGTACAATTGTGTGGTGTGACTGGAGCAGGGGTGTGAGTGAAACTCATCAGAGATGCCCAGGTGATCAAGAAGAAGTGGAAACTTTGAAACATGCATTGTGTCTGGAGGCTGAATTGAATTGGCAGCATTGACGAACCCTCAAGAGTGAGAAACAACGATGGGAACCCAGATATTCACCATCAAAGTAACACAAATTAACATCCTAAGGATGGATGACTGCAGCATGACACTGCAACACCCACAGACTCCAATGGGAACTGACATGGATAAGAAGGGAAGCTCTTGCCATGGGTCGCTGGGTTCAGTCCCGCAAGCCAAGCCTCCGAGGATCCTCAGAGGAACCCGGACTCCTCGCTCAGTCAGCCTGGCCTGGCCAGTAAGACTGACTTAGCCACCATGGACTGGTAACCATGAACCATCTGTAGGACCTGTGTGTGTATGTGGGTTTGTCTTTAAAGACTATGCAAACTGCTTCTCTACTGTATTCTCAATAAAAGCAGCGGATTGCCTTCTCCCCTGAAAAAGATCCTGTGTGCTTCTTAGAAGCGTAATACCCTTTGGGGTCAGGAGGCAATTGTGTGCAGGGAGTAGAGTTCTCAGTTTCTTCTCGTTGTTTGTGGATTGGAAGCCAGAGACCTGCAATGCATGGGGTGAGCTGGCAGTCGCAGAAACACAGTTTGTGACTGGTGCGAGATTTTCATGTCACTGCAAACGCACAGTTTTGGGCGTACCTGCTCCCCATTCCCCTGTGCTTGGCTTAGCTCATGGACACTGCCCCAGAAGTCTACAGCTCACAGGAAGCAGAGAGCCCAGGAGGAGGGCTTAGGAGCTTCCTAAGGGAATCCAGGGCACAGTGCTTCCTAGGGCATATTTGCAGTGACAGGTGTGGGAGTTTCTGAGTCTTCTGCTCATAGTTTCTACTGGTGCTATGGGGACATGGTTTTGTCTACATTCCTTGACAAAGAATAGAACTGACTTGTAGCATCACGTTTTCCTCCTAATGCCATGAAACCTCCAATATGTCCCCAGTGGGCACCACTTCAAAGAAGGGGGGAACCAATATGCCCTGTAGCACTGAGGAATACCTGGGATCATTTTTCTACTGCAGTGACAAAGGGAGGAATTTCATTCTGGGGCTCCAGCAGTTTTCTTATGTGCGGCAAGACCAGAGGGGCCAGTCTCAAAACTGCCAAGCCTAGAGGTGCCAGAGCTTCGCTCTGGCAAGCCCTGGCATACGTGTGGTCCTGAGTGTAGGAACGGGTTATGTTCAGGACTCCAGAGGGAACAATTTCAAAGTTCAGGCTCAGCTCATTAACTTGCATCCAGTCCTGAGGTTTTACAGCCTACGTGCATTCTGTACAAACCGTCCTGCGTGCAGGCTTGGACCAACGCAATAGATTAATAGGCAAGCACACAAACCCGAATGGCATGCCATCCCTCACTGCAGCAGAGAGAAAGAATTTGGTTTAGTTTTTACATTTTCCCCACTTGGTCTCGATAGCGCCTTCTCCGCCGTTCGTACGTTGCAGGGCTGCTGACATGATTTATGTAAGAGTGGGATGACCCTAGGAAAAATCACGCCATGCCCAGCATAGCTGGAGAGCAAGAGTTTCAAGAATGGATAGTGCCTTGAATTTTGGGGTGCTCAGCTTGAGAGACTGTCATGACAGGAAAGCTCAGGAGTGCAGAATCTACTTTCCTTTCTTGAGAGCTTCAGCAAACATTGAAGCATCTAAACAGTTCTGTAATGTTCCCAACAGATGCTAAGATCCCCATGTCTGGGAATGGGGACACTCCACAGCCCATGGGTAGCAAGCTATGTAAAGGGATTTGAAATGCAATGGATCCCCACAACAGTGACATAACTCTCCTACTACCCTTGCTCAGTGTCAACACCCCTGCATGACATGAGTGAAGTTGACTTGAAGTAGTGTAGGATTAACATAGACCGGCCCTGAGAAGGATCCAGGATAGAACACAACCCAGTGACAAGTTGGTGCTCACCCATTGCTCAATGCATATGATAGAGAAAATTCACACTTTTCATGCTATTTTGTGTTCAGTTCAGTGCAGACTGTCACAGAGGAGGAGCACACACTGTGCTCTCTCTCGCTAATTCTACGCTTGCTGTTACTTGCTCCGTTGCTACTTTACTTAAAATACTTGCAAGTGGATTGGAAATCATCTTTCTCCTCCTTGTGCCTGGACACAAAGAAGGTGACAGTATATAGAAGAAACCCACAGAAAGGGCTACAGAGTAGTAGGATGGTGGGAAACACCATGAGAAATCACACACTTCACACTTGGAACTGCATAATGAAATCAACGTGGTTAGAAAAGAGAGGGAGAGAGATTTGTTGCACCCCCCCTTCTTTCTCAACACAAACAGCTCCCAGCTTTCAAAGCACATCACATCTATATTTGTGTGCACACAAGGGCAGTAGCCAACAGCAGACCAGATCTCAGCAGGGACCTGCATCCCGTGTTGGAATACAGACATATGCATAACACCAAAATAATAATCAATAAAACCAAAATAAGCTCTGTGAAATGACATGCTAATTGAAATCACCTGATTCCATTTCCCATCTTTCCACCAGCACTGAGTCAATCAGACTCAGGACTGGGTCAGGAGTTTGTTCATGGCTTTCCTCAGTGAATCCTTCACCTCCCGGTTCCTTAGGCTGTAGATGAGGGGATTCAATAAGGGGATAACCAGCAAGTAAAACACTGAAGCTCTTTTGTCTGTGTCCATGGAATAGCTGGAGGTGGGTCGGAAATACATAAAGAGGAGGGTGCCATAAAAGATGCCCACTGCAGTCAAGTGACAAGCGCAGGTGGAGAAGGCTTTGAGCCGGCCCTCGGCAGAGCGGATCTTAAGGATGGTGTACATGATATAGACGTAGGAGAGGAGGGTGGTCACAACACTGATTGCTACAATGTAGAACATGGAAGCCAACTGCACAATGTCACTGATGCGGGTGTCAGAGCAGGAAAGCACCAGCAGTGGGGGAATATCACAGTAGAAATGATTGATGACGTTGGAGCGGCAGAATGACAGCTGAAATATACAAAACACGTGTATCATTGAATCCACCAAACCCACAGCACACACCCCAGCCACCAGCAGGTTACAGCGCTGCCTGGACATGATGACCACATAGAGCAGCGGGTTACAGATGGCCACATAACGGTCGTACGCCATCACAGCCAGCAAGAGACACTCAAAATCAGCAAGAAAGATACAGAAAGTAATCTGCACAGCACAAGCAGTGTAGGAAATGCTTTTCTTCTCAGATAAGAAATTCTGCAGCATCTTAGGGGCGATGACTGAGGAATAGCAGAAATCACAGAAAGACAAACTCCAGAGGAAAAAGTACATGGGGGTGTGGAGTTGGGAGTCAATTGTGATTAACAAGATCATTCCCAAGTTCCACACCACAGTGATAACATAAATCAGTAGGAACAACACAAACAGAGGGACCTGCAGCTCTGGACGATCGGTCAGTCCTGAGAGAATGAACTCAGTTGCCTCCGAGTGATTTCCCTCAGGGTTGTGGGCAGTTGGATGGCTCAGGGAACCTGTCCCTTTGTTGAAATGAAATAAGTGAAGAAAAAGGGCGGTCAGTTTCTTAATAGGTAGCAGTACTGGATTAGAGAAGGGGTCAGTCAATAGAGCCAGATGTTCATTGCTGCTCATTCCACTTGGTTCATCAATTTCAACTACTGCACCCATACAAGGACACGGTGGTTAATTGTCACAGAAACTCTCCTGTTTACTAATCCGAGCAGCAAACAGCAACTCGTGACTCTGCTGAGGGAGAATCATGGTAAAAATAATCTCCGTGTGATGAGATTATTCCTTATCTCAAGAAGTGGTGAGAGTAAACGAGTGTCGGTCTTTCCACCCTCTTTGGGCAAAGGGAGCTCTGCGGCTCTACATGTCGGTTTGGTGCGCTGTGCTAATGAATCTCTCGGGCATCTTATAATGGCATTTACATTTGTCTGTATCAAACCCCCAAATCTTAGTGGAACACACCAGCTTCTGTGACTACATCGTCACCTATTGTTTTCAGTCAAGAGTTTCCTTCCTTAGTTCAGGAGGTAGGAGCTGGTGGGTTTTGTGCTGGAGGACTTCAACTCAGTGCCTGCCAATCACCATGGTGTCTGTACAGGTGTGTGACTCTGATGCAGGACAAGAGCACGTACCTGCTAACAGCAGAGAGAGATGGGATGGCGCGTCTCCATCCACCAAAACTGACACTTTGGTGCAATTGGGAAGGTTTATAATGAGATCTGTGATCTGTGGGACAAGCTCTCGGGAACCACTGAGCTCAGAGAGACAAAACAACAAATTAATGAGCTCAGGGAATGTCAGCCCTGGAGATGATACCTTAGGGAATAATTTGTCACCTTCTTTTCTCCTATGTTAGTTCATAATGCAATTCCTATCAGAATTGCAGAGTCCGTGTTTGAGGGATATTTCATTCTGCTCCAAAAGTAAATTCTTGGCCAAACAGCGAGGCCCCTCTGAGGTGATGTGATGAGTGGGTGAGGTGGAGATCCATTGTCCAGAGAAGAAAAAGAAACTAATAAATAATTTTTCGTTATTCACCCTCTCTGCTCCACTCACGATTTTATATACCTCTATCATATCCCGCCTCAGTCTCCTCTTTTCTAACGTGAAAAATCCCAGTCGCTTTAACCTCTCTTCATATGGGACCCGTTCCAAATCCCTAATCATTTTAGTTGCCCTTTTCTGAACCCTTTCCAAGGCCCAATTATCTTTTCGGATGTGAGGAGACCACATTTGTACATGGTATTCAAGATGTGGGCGTACCATAGTTTTATACCAGGGCAGTAAGATAGACTGGTACAGAGAAGATAGACAAAGAATGATTAAAGGTCTAGAGAAGCCTATGAAGCCAGGCTTCATGAACTGGGCTTGTTTAGTTTGGAAAAACGAAGATTAAGGGGGGACATGATAGTGGTTTTCAAATATCTAAAAGGGTGTCACAAGGAGGAAGGAGAAAATTTGTTTCTCTTGGTTTCTGAGGACAGGACAAGGAGTAATGGGCTTAAAGTGCAGCAGGGGAGGTTTAGATTGGACATTAGGAAAAAATTCCTAACTGTCAGGGTGGTCAAATATTGGAATAAATTGCCAAGGGAGGTGGTGGAATCTCCCTCTCTGGAGATATTTAAGAACAGGTTAGATAGACATCTGTCAGGGATGGTGTAGACGGAGCTTGGTCCTGCCTTGAGGGCGGGGGGCTGGACTCAATGACCTCTCGAGGTCCCTTCCAGTCCTATAATTCTATGATTCTATAATTCTATCACTGTGTCTTATTTTCTATCCATTTCTTAATAATTCCTAACATCCTGTTTGCCTTTTTGACCGCCGCTGCACACTGCGTGGAAGTTTTCAGAGAACTAGCCACGATAACTCCAAGATCTCTTTTCTGATTTCTTGTAGCCAACTTAGCCCCCATCATACTGTACGTACAGTTGGGGTTATTTTTCCCAACGTGCATTACTTTACACTTATCCACATTAAATTTCATTTGCCATTTTGTTGCCCAATCACTCAGTTTCGTGAGATCTTTTTGAAGTTCTTCACAGTCTGCTTCTGTCTGGACTATCTAAAACAGTTTAGTATCATCTGCAAACTTTACCACCTCACTTCTTACCCCTTTCTTCAGATCATTTGTGAATAGGTTGAACAGTATTGGTGCAAGGACTGATCCGTGGGGGACACCACTAGTTGTCCCTGTCCATACTGAAAATTTACCATTTATTCCATCCCTTTGTTTCCTGTCTTTTAACCAGTTCTCAATCCAGGAAAGGACCTGCCCTCTTATTCAATGGCAATGTAATTTAAACAGGAGCCTTCTGTGAGGGGTGTTGTCAAAAGCTTTCTGAAATCTAAGTATATTATATCTACTGGATCCCCCTTGTCCACATGTTTGTTAACCCCTTCAAAGAACTGTAATAGATTAGTAAGACAGGATTTCCCTTTACAGAAACCATGCTGACTTTTGTCCAACAAATTATGTTCTTCTACATGCCTGACAATTTTATTCTTTACTATCGTTTCGACTAATTTGCCTGGTACTGAAGTTAGACTTGCCGGTTTGTAATTGCCAAGAACGCCTCTAGAGTCCCTTTTAAATATTGGTATCAATATTATGAAGGGGTGGATAGTCCCGAAGGGGCCCTGCCATACCCTGCTTCAGGAAAAAGAGTGGAGAAGAGGTCCTCCAAGCAAGCTAGAGTGGCTGCTTCTGCTACAGCCAATAAGGGCCCAACAAGCTGATATGGAGAAGCTGCTGGGATAACGCCTGGCAGTTCCTCTCTGGAGCTCAAGCCAGGCAGACCCAAGGACTGAGTGGGAAGACAGTGATACTATGGACAGCTCCGAGTGTGGGCTGCTTTGCAAGCTCAGCTGAATCCCAGGTCTGGTGGCTGAAGACCAGCCATGATGGGCTGTGGCAAATTGCAGAACCCTGGACAGGATGCAGTGAAGACTTCATCTCAAAACCCTGATAGGGCACGGCTACACAGCAGGACTAAACTCTAATTAAGCTACGTAACTTGAGCTATGCTAATGGTGTAGGTAGTTTAAGTTGAAATAGCATATTTTGATTTTTGGTGCTGTCTACACAGCAGCTATTTTGAGAGAGAGCACTGTTCCCCCCACTTCCCTTATCCCTCGTACAATGAGGGTTATAGGAGACATTGTAAGCAGTCCTCCAGCTTGACACTATTTCAACATTATGTCAAAATAGCTGCTTGTTGTGTAGACGTAGCCAAACAGGGCAAGAACAATTCAGCTTCTTCCCAGGAGACTGAGAAGAAAGGGCATCTGGGATATGTCCACTCTCAGAGCAAGCAGAGAGGAGTTGGTGGACAAACATCCGTGGCCACAAGGGGAAACTCGAGAGGCACCTTAGAGACTCACAAAAATACACAGTAACATGGCCTTTCGTGAGCAAAACGCACTTCATCACATGATGGGTATGTCTAGACTACAGGCTTTTGTCGACCAGGCTTTGTCGACAGATACTGTCGACAACACTTCTCTCAACAAAGATCATCTAGACTACATCCAGGTCTGTTGTCAAAGCAAGGTGCTTTGTTGACATGACAGTATAGACGCAAACGACAGTGTAGAGGGTGCTTTGTCGACATGACAGTATAGACGCAAAGGACGGTGTAGAGACAATAATGCCTTCTGTCGACAGAACTCTGTCAACAAAAGGCTTTATTCCTCGTAGAAAGATGTTTTCAGCCATCAACAAAACTGCCCAGTTCTGTTAAAATTATGTCGACAGAACTCAGAAGTAGTGTAGACGCAGGTATAGTTCTGTCAACAAAAGGCCTCTTTAGTTGACAAAACCCTGTAATCTAGACACTCCCTGACTTGTAGCATCATGTTTTCCTCCTAATGCCATATATCTTTCAATAGCTCCCCAGTGGGCACCACTTAAAAGGAGGGGGGAACCAATATGCCCTGTAGCACTGAGTAATACCTGGGATCATTTTGTTACTGCAGTGACAAAGGGAGGAATTTCATTCTGGGGCTCCAGCAGTTTTCCTACGTGCGTCATTGGTGCGGCAAGACCAGAGGTGCCAGTCTCAAAACTGCCAGGCCTAGAGGTTCCAGGACTCAGCTCTGGCAAGTCCTGGCATATGTTTGGCCCTGAGAATAGGAATGGGTTATGTTCAGGACTCCAGAGGGAACAATTTCAAAGTTCAGGCTCTGCTCATTAGCTTGCATCGAGTGCTGAGGTTTTACAGCCTATGTGCATTGTATACGAACCATGCTGCATGCAGGCTCAGACCAGCACAGTATTTTAATAGTCAAGCACACAAACCCGAATGGGATACCATCCCTCACTGCTGCAGAGAGAAAGAATTTGGTTTAGTTTTTACACTCTCCCCACTTGATCTCGATAGCGCCTTATCCACCATTCCTATGTTGCAGAGCTGCTGAGGCCATGTTTGTAAGAGTGGGATGAACCTAGGAGAAATCACGCTATGCCAGGCATAGCCTGCAGAGCAAGAGTTTCAAGAGTGCCTTGAATTTTGGGGTGCTCAGATTGAGAGTCTGTCATGACAGAGCAGCCCAGGAATGCAGAATCTATTTCCCTTTCCTGTGATCATCAGCAAACATGGTAGCATCTAAACAGACCTGTAATGTTCCCTACAGACATTAAGATCCCCATGTCTTGGAATGGGGACACTCCACACCCTTAGCCCATGGGTAGCAAGCTATGGAAAGGGATGTGAAATACAATGGATCCCCACAACAGACACATAAGTCTCCTACTGCCCTCGCTCAGTGTCAACACCCCTGGACGGTATAAATGAAGTTGACTTGAAGTACTGTGGGATTAGCATGGACCAGCCCTGAGAAAGATCCAGGATAGAACATAACCCAGTGACAAGCTGGCTGTTCAGCAATGTGGGTCACCCATTGCTTAATGCATATGATAGAGAAAATTCACACTTTCCATGCTATTTTGTGTTCAGTTCAGTGCAGACTGTCACAGAGGAGGTGCACACACCGTGCTCTCTGTCGCTAATGCTACGCTTGCTGTTACTTGCTCTGTTGTTACTTCACTTAAAATACTGGCCAGTGGAATAGAAATCACCTTCTCCTCCTTCTGCCAGGACACAAAGCAGGTGACAGTCTATAGAAGAACCCCAGAGGGCTTTTACAGCCTGAGAAAAACCCCTGGTGACAGAAAGAGCTACAGAGTAGTAGGATGATGGGCAAATACCACCAGAAATCACACACAACACCCTTGGAACTGCATAATGAAATCAACACCATTGGAAAAAAGAGGGAGCTAGATTTCTTGCACTCCCCCTTCTTTCTCAATAACAAAAGATCCCAGATTTCAAAGCACATCGCATCTATAATTGTGCACACACAAGGGCAGTAGCCAACAGCAGACCTGATCTCAGAAGGGACCTGCAGCCCGTGTTGGAATACAGACACATGCATAATAACAACAATGTAATAATCAATAAAACCACAATGGGCTGTGTGCAACGACATCCTAATTGAAGTCACCTGCTTCCATTTCCCATCCTTCCACCAGCACGGAGACAATCAGACTCAGAACCAGAGGGTCCAGAGAAGAGCAAAGAGAATGATTAAAGGTCTAGAGATCATGATCTATGAGCGAAGGCTGAAGGAATTGGGTTTGTTTAGTTTAGAAAAGAGAAGATTGAGGGGGGAAGTGATAGCAGTTTTCAGGTATCTAAAAGGGTGCCATAAGGAGGAGAGAGAAAACTTATTCATCTTGGCCTCTGAGGCTTAAACTGCAGCAAGGGAGGTTTAGGTTGGACATTAGGAAAAAGTTCCTAACTGTCAGGGTGGTCAAACACTGGAATAAATTGCCCAGGGAGGTTGTGGAATCCCCATCTCTGGAGATATTTAAGAGCAGGTTAGATAAATGTCTATCAGGGATGGTCTTAGACAGTATTTGGTCCTGCCATGAGGGCAGGGGACTGGACTCGATGATCTCTCGAGGCCCCTTCCAGTCCTAGTATTCTGTGATTCTATGATCCTATGAGCACTGGGTCAGGAGTTTGTTCATGGCTTTCCTCAGAGAATCCTTCACCTCCTTGTTCCTCAGGCTGTAGATCAGGGGATTCAACAAGGGGATCACAAGCGAGTAAAACACTGAAGATATTTTGTCGGTGTCCATGGAGTAGCTGGAGCTGGGTCGAAAATACATGAAAAGGAGAGCACCATAAAACAATCCCACTGCAGTCAAGTGGGAAGCGCAGGTGGAGAAGGCTTTGAGCCGGCCCTCGGCAGAGCCGATCTGCAGGATGGTGTAAATGATATAGACATAGGAGATGAGGATGACCACAACATTGATGGTTATATCGTAGAACATGGAAGCCAACTGCAGAATGTCAAGGCTGCGGGTGTCAGAGCAGGAGAGGACCAGAAGTGGGGGAATATCACAGAAGAAATGATTGATGACGTTGGAGCGGCAGAATGACAGCTGGAATGTATACCACGTGTGTATCACTGAATCCACCAGCCCCACAACACACACCCCAGCCACCAGCAGGTTACAACGCTGCCGGGACATGATGACAGTATAGAGCAGCGGGTTACGGATGGCCACATAACGGTCGTACGCCATCACAGCCAGCAAGAAACACTCAAAATCAGAAAAAAAGATAGAGAAAAATATCTGCACAGCACAGGCAATGTACGAAATGCTTTTCTTCTCAGATAAGAAATCCTGCAGCATCTTAGGGGCTACTACTGTGGAACAGCAGAGATCACAAAAAGACAAACTCCGGAGGAAAAAGTACATGGGGGTGTGGAGTTGGGAATCAGTTGTGATTAACATGATCATCCCCATATTCCACACCACAGTGATAACATAAATCAGTAGGAACAACACAAACAGGGGGACCTGCAGCTCTGGACGATCTGTCAGTCCTGTGAGAATGAATTCAGTCACCACGGAGCGATTTCCCTCTTCCATCTCCTCTGAGTAGAGATCAGGCGGCCGCAGGGTTGTGGGCAGTTGGATGACTCAGGGAACCTGTCCCTTTGTTGTAATGAAGTAAGTGAAGAAAAAGGGCGGTCAGTTTCTTAATAGGTAGCAGTACTGGATCAGAGAAGGGGTCAGTCCACAGAGCCAGATGTTCACTGCTGCTCATTCCAATTGTATGATCAATTTCACACACTGCACCCATAAGTAAGTAAAGAAAAACGTCAGTTTCTTAATAGGTAGCCATACTGGATCAGGGAAGGGCTCATTAGACAGAACCAGATGTTAATTGATGCTCATTCCATTTGATTGAACAATTTCACACACTGCACTCATACAAGGACATGGTGGTTAATCGTCACAGAAACTCTCCTGTTCACTAATCCGAGCAGCAAACAGCAACTTTGTGACTCTTCTGAGGGAAAATCATGGTAAAAATCATCTCCATGTGATGGGATTATCTCAAGAAGGGGTGAGAGTAAATGAGTTTCGGTCTTTCCACTCTCTTTGGGCAAGGGGAGCTCTGTGGCTCTTCATGTCGTATTCGTGTGCTGTGTTAATTAAGCTCTTTTTAATCTGACAATGGCATTTACATTAGTCTGTATCAAACCCCCAAGACTTAGTGGAACACACCAGCTTCTGTGACTACATTGTCACCAATTTTTCCAACCAAAAGTGTCCTTCCCTTAGCTCAGGTGGTAGGAGATGAGGCTTTTAGTGTTGGAGGACTTCAGTTCATTGCCTGCCAGTCACCATGTTGTTTGCACAGGTGTGTGACTCTGATACAGGACAACAGCACCTACCTGCTGACAGCAGAGAGAGATTTGCTGGCACGTCCCCTTCCACCAAAACTGACACTTTGGTGCAATTGGGAAGTTTTATACTAAGTTCCGTGATCTCTGGGACAAGATCTTGGGAGCCAGTGAGCTCAGAGACACAACAACAAATTAATGAGCTCAGGGAATGTCAGCCATGGAGCTGATACCTTGGGGAATAATTTGGTGCCATCTTTTCTCCTATGTTAGTTAGTGATGCAATTTTTATCAGTGTTACAAAGTCCAAGCCTGAGGGATATTTCATTCTGCTCTTGTTACT